AAGGACGAGGGGCCCATAAGCTGGAATGGCACCTTAGGGAAGGACTTACGAGACACAAAATGTCACAGCTGGAGAGACCCTAGGAAAAAGCCTCCTCTATTCCTTAACCTTATTACTATTACATTTTTGAGATGGAGTCTTGCACTGTCGCCCGAGCTGGAGTGCAGTGGCAAGATCTCAGCTCACTGCAACCTCTTCCTCCCAGATTCAAGCAATTCTCCTGCCTCAGCCTCCCGAGTAGTTGGGATTTGAGGCACCTGCCACCACACCTGGCTAATTTTTTGTATTTTTAGTAGAGATGGGGTTTCACTATTTTGGCTAGGCTGGTCTCGAACTTCTAACCTCGTGATCTGCCTGCCTCAGCCTCCTAAAATGCTGGGACTACAGGCATAAGCCACCACACCCGGCCCCAACCTTATTTTTTAAAATTAAAAAATAAAAAAAATTTTTGAGGCAGGGTCTCATTTGGTTGCCCAGGCCAGAGTGCAGTGGCATGATCATAGCTCACTGCAGCCTCAAACCCCTGGGCTCAAGTGATCCTCCCACTTCAGCCTCCCAAGCAGCTGGGACTACAAGCGAGCACCACCATGCTTTGCTAATTATTTTATTTTTTGTAGAAGTGAGTTCTCATTTTGTTGCCTAGGCTGTTCTCGAACTCCTGGCCTCAAGCAATCCTCCCACTTTGGCCTCCCACAGTGTTGGGATTATAGGTGTGAGCCACCACACCCAGCAGACCCCTAACTTTAAAGATAAGGAAACAGAGGCCCAGAAAGGTCTTGCCCAAGGCTCTATAACCCTGAGAAAAGCAGAGATGCCAGCTGGGCCCAGTGGGGTGTACTTGTAGTCCCAGCTACTCGGGAGGCTGAGCCAGGAAGTTCGCTTGAGCGCAAGAGCTCAACATTGCAATGCACTATGATCACGCCTGTGAATAGTCCCTGTGCTCCAGCCTGGATAACATAGTGAGACACTGTCTCTTGAGAAGAAAAGAAAATAGAGGGCCAGACATGGTGGGTCATGCCTGTAATCCCAGCACTTTGGGAAGCCGAGGTGGGCCGATCACCTGAGGGTGGGAGTTCAAGACCAGCCTGACTAACACGGAGAAACCCCATCTCTACTAAAAATACAAAATTAGCCAGGCATGGTGGTGCGTGCCTGTACTCCCAGCTACTCAGGAAGCTGAGGCATGAGAATCACTTGAACCTGGGAGGCAGAGGTTGCAGTGCACCATTGCACTCCAGCCTGGGCAACAAGAGCAAAACTCCATCTCAAAATAAATAAATAAAATAAAATAAAAACAAAGATGGGATGGTACTTGCTATGGGTTGAATTGTATTTCCCCAAAAAAGATATGTTGAAGTCCTAACCTCTGGACCTGTAGGTGTTATGTTATTTGGAAATAGGGTCTTTGCAGATGTAATCAAGTTAAAATGAACTCACCCTAGACTAGAATGGGCATTAATCCAATGTGACTGGTATCCTTACAGGAAGAGGAAAATTTGGACACTAAGAGACACATAGGGAGAGGATGGTCACGTGATAACAGAGACAGTGGTTGCAGTGAAGTATTTAGAAGCCAGGGAATGCCAAGAGTTGCCTGCAAACACCAGAACTAGAAGAGCAAGGAAGGATCCTTCTCCACAAGTTTCAGAGGCAGCATGGCCCTGGCAACACCTTGATTTTGCACTTCTAGCCTCCAGAACTCCTTCTGGTCTTTTTCTTCTATGCATATTTTTTCTTTATTCATACATTTTATCACTTTACTCTTCAGATTTTAATACTATAAACATTTTCAACATCTGCATAACCATAATTTAATTAGTCATTTGGTGGGCACAGACAGGTAGCTTTCAGTTTTTTCACCACATAAGTGACTCTTTGTTGGCTGGGCACCTACAATCCCAGCACTTAGAGAGGCCAAGGTGGCAGGATTGCTTAAACCCAGGAGTTCAAGACCAGCCTGGGCAACATGGTGAGATGCTGTCTCTACAAAAAAAAAAAAAAAAAAAAAAAAAAAAACAAAAAAACAAAACATTAGCTGGGTGTGGTAACACGTACCTGTAGTCCCAGCTACTAGGGAGGCTGAGGCGGGAGGATTACTTGAGCCTGGGAGGTCCAGGCTGCAGTGAGCCCTGCTGATGCCACTGTACTCCAGGTTGGGAAACAAAGTGAGATCCTGTCTAAACAAAATAAATAAATAACAGCAGGGTGTGGTGACTCACACATCTAATCTCAGCACTCTGGGAGGCCGAGGCCAGAGGATCACTTGAGCCAGGAGTTTGAGACCAACCTGGGGAATAGAATGAGACCTCATCTCTACAAAAATACAAAATAAAATAAAAATAACTCTTTGTTACAAAGCTTTTACAGAGCTTTACAACAAAGGATAGAGCCCTACACATAAAATTTCTAGGCCAGAGCATGTTTACATTGCAATGCTGTTCACAATATGAGCCCGGCGGGAACGCCTGGCAGTGCTTCTGCCTCTTCTCCCAGGAAAAGCACTGCTGCTCAAGGCTCATCCCCCACTTCCTTCCCTGACTCCCCTGAGAGCCAGGTCCAATGAGCTCCCTGCATTTTGCCTGGAACTCTGCTTCTTTCTTGTCTGGGCGGGATTAAGAGCCAACTCTATCGTGTCCCTGCCTGTCTCTGGCTTCACCTTCACCGGTGATGACTGCTTTGCACTCTGGCTTCCAGCTCAGGCCCTGCCCCACCTCTGAGCTCTTAACTCTCCTAAGACTATGGAATTCCCCTGCCACAGCCTGCAACTTCTCCAGTGGACATAGGGACTGCTATTGCCATCTAAGAGGAAAGGGGATATGAGGGGTTGAAAAAGTTGGGATTGCTCAGCAAGCTGGGACCACAACAGGGGTTCTGGGGCCACATCCTTCACCCTGCAGGGAGGGGTGTGGCTTCTGCTTGCCTCAGGGTCAGGTTCCATCCCAGTCCTTGGGTTTGGCTGGAATGAGCTCTAAGTATTTCAGCCAAGCCCCATCTTTTCCAAGGGCTTATGGGGACCAGACCTGTTGACTCTCCTCATTTTCTGCACCCTGGATTCCCTAACCAGGCCACTCAGAAAAGAACTCCCATCCTTCTCCTGGCAATATCCTGGGAGCTCTGTGGCTCTGCCCTTAGCCCTCCTCTGGCTCTCAGCGTGGTGAAGGTGGTAGGGAATGATGGAAGGTAAACCCCAGGAACAGGAGGAGGCCCCCAAAACTCCCAAAGCTCTGTCAGGAGGATCTGTCTCCATGTTAACTCCCTCCACAGGCCTTACCAGGGCCCAGCCATCAACGGTGCCAACCAAAAGTCCCATGCCCAGCTCTCACTCTCCCTCCCACCTCCCAAGCTGCAGTTAAACAGGAGATCAGGACGAGGGAAGCTCCCCATGTGTAGTCTCTCTGAGGTGCAGCCACCTCCACATGCTGCGAGAAACCGGCCTATCAGTTCAGCCACAGTGGCAAGTGGGCGTGGCACTTTGTACTGTGCTATCCAGTCTGACCCTTGATCTGGCATCAGCTTCTACCCTCCTTGCTTACTGTTTCCAGCAAACAGCCACAGCTCTCCTGTATTGAATAACGTGCAACATCATGTGGACACATTTTGTGGGGAAAATGAAAGCGATCTGAGACTTTAGGACTGATCCAGCCACGCCAGGAGGCAATGAAAGGAAGGGCCCCTCATCCCTCTTCATTCCCCTCCCAAAGCTGAAAACTCAGTAGAAGAACCAGAAAGCTCAGCCCTGGATTTATATGTCTCTTTGCTATGCCATCACGGCAGTATAAATGGTTAGTGTTAACGTCATTGTTCAAATTATGCTCTGTGTGGTGGCTCATGCTGTTATCCCAGCACTTTGGGAGACTAAGGTGGGTAGATCACTTAAACCCGGGAGTTCAAGACCTGCCTGGGAAACACGGTGAAACCCTGTCTCTACAAAAAAATACAAAAATTAGCTGGGCATAGTAGTGGCATAGTAGTGGACACCTGTAGTCCCAGCTACTCGGGAAACTGAGGTGAGAGGATCACCTGAGCCTGGGAAGTCAAGGCTGTGGCGAGCCAGGATTGTGCCACTGCACTCCAGCCTGGGTGACCCCGTCTCAAAAAAAAAAAAAAAAAAAAAAAGGTCAAATTAGGAAAAAATTTTGAAATAACAAACTTCCTTTTGCAACTGCTCTTTTGTTCATCTTCTACCTTAATCCCAGGCACCAAGTTTTCTGTTTGCACTCGTGCTTGCCCTGGGGGTGGTGGGGAAGGACTGAGGAGGGAAGGTCAGAATATGCAGTTCCAGTCCCAGCTATTACTGGCTCTGGAGCTCTGGGCAAGCTACTTCATCTTTCTGACCCTGTTTCCCCATCTGCAATAGAGTGATGTCAATACCCACCGTGTATGGCACTCGGGAGGCAGGAAAAGGTTTGGGTCAACCTGAGTGGGTCTGATCCCGATCCTGGCTCCACCACCCACTGCCTCCACCACCCTGAGCAAGTTCCCTAACTCCTCTGGCCTTCGTTTTTCCCCTTGATGAAAGGGGGGCAGTTAGGTACCACTGACCCCATAGGGCTGCTGAGAGGATGACAGGAGACAATGTCCAGGGCTGGCCAACAGTAAGTGCTTAAAACACATAGTAGCATTACTCCTTCTTAACAGGTTGTAAATTATAGAGCACGCCTATGTTATCTTAGTAAATTTTATTTAAATATCATACCATTCATAATATTTTAACAAGTTTTAATTAAGACACACGCTTCGGTACCCCTGCCCCGGCTCCATATTGCGCTAACCAAGTGGAATTCTCCTCCTGGCCTGTGTGCGCAGCTGCTGCTCATCCCGCGTCCCCTTGGACATGCAGCTCTGCCCATCAGGGCCACAGGCAGCCTGGTCCCACCATGGGGGTTGGGGATGCGGACCAGAATATGCCCGTTCCGGGGCGCGCGTCTGGCCCCTCTCTAGGGAGCCGCGTCGGCGGGGCCCCACCCGGCCAATGTCCCGAGGCTCGTACGCTCACTCACCCTCTTGACCAGGAAGCCCTCCTTGAGCACGCCATCCTCCATGTCGCCGCCCGCACGCCAGGGCCACCCCAGGTGCGCCGTCCCCGCGCTTCGCGCTCCTCGGCACCAGCGCGGCCCGCGCAGTCAGCGCCCACGGCGCCCAGGAAGCAGCTCCGACGCGGTTGGGCGACGCCTCCCTGGCCCGTGTCCAGAGCCTGAGGCCCCGGGGCAGGAAGTCAGACCAGGTCGGGATTTCTGACGTGACGTTTCCACCCAAACGTGCTCCAGGGTCGGTGGTTGGTCCTCCAGGTACAGAGCGGCCAGCCCCGCCCTATCCAGGTGCGCCCCGTGCCCCTCACTGTTCCAGTCTCTCTGCTCAGCGTCCTTCGCCAGGTGCTTCCCGGGCACTTAGCACATTGCCCTCAAGGAACGCTTATCGAATTGAGCATAACCGAAAGGACCCCAGGATTTGGAGCCATTCCTGTGCTCATTGGAAGTAGGAGATGGGACAGTGGGTGAGGCGAAACTGGTTTGGGAACTTTATCCTGGCCTCTGACGGGGGCAGAGAAGACCTCTCAGTAACAGGAAGGTCACAGTTTTAAGGAGGCAGGCACAGTCTACAGGGCCCCCGTCCCCAAGATATACCCTGCTCCCTCAAAAAAGATGAAGCCAAAAATTCTATCATTAAGGACAAAATTTAAGGGGCCGCCAAGGAGTCCAGTAATCTAAATAAATTATATATACAGAGAGATGATAGGTTTTTTGTTTTTTTGTTTGTTTTTAGAGACAGGGTCTTTCTCTGTCACCCAGGCTGGAGTGCAGTGGTGTGATCATAGCTCACTGCAGCCTTAAACTCTGGGCTTAAGATCCTCCCGCCTCAGCTCCCCAAGTAGCTAGGACTACAAGAGTGCACCACCAGACCTGGCTGGTTTATTTTTATTTTTTGTAGAGATGGGGTGTTGCTATGTTGCCCAGGCTGGTCTTAACTCCTGGCCTCAAGCAATCCTCCTGCCTGGGCTTCCCAAAGTGCTGGGATTACAGGCAGGAGTCACCATGTAAGACCTAGAAAAAATAATATTTTAATGCATTTTTTAAAAATCAAAATTAATGTCAGAAAATCCACGATGAACAAAATGCTAACATTTTAAATAGATAGGATCAACAACAATGTTCTATCAGGTCATATTGGTGCCTAGAACAAAAGGAAACATCAGTACAGTAGTACTGATTCTGTCTAGCAATCCTTGGAACACAGTCACACTTTTTAAATTATATTTATTGATAATTATAGAGACAGGGTCTCACTGTATTGCCCAGGCTGGTCTCGAACTCCTGGGCTCAAGCAGTCCTCCTGCCTCAGCCTCTCAAAGTGCTGGGATTGTGGGCGTGAGTCATGGGGCCGGCCCACATTATTCGTGCTCCAGTTTGAAGGGCCCTGTCAGGACTCCACCAGGCGTGGGAAAGGCCCTCAGATGCCTGTAAGGGAAGAGAAGGCGTAGAGAGGAAGAAGGTGAACCAGCTTGTGGAAGGTGGGGGGTGCCTTTCAGAACCAGACTGAAGCCAGCTCCCAGGCCAGTCCCTGCCCTGGAGCTCTGGACACAATGCTGCTTCTACGTGTCTGTAGTAGACATAGTACTTACCCCCAACCCCACTCCCACCTGCAAGCCCCAAGGAAAGCTCGCAGGGTCTGGGCCACTGCATGCCAGCCCAACAGCCCACTCTAGCCTTCTGCACTAACTGGCCTTCAGACTTCCCAGGAAGCCCCAAAGCAGTGGGGCTTCCATTCTGATTCAGAATGAGCATTGGCTTGTCACCTTCTGAAGCCAGGCCTGTAATAGTAGGTGCTAGGTTTTATCTAATCCACAACCCCATGAGGTGTTTATTATATCATTTTCCAGTCAAGGAAACTGAAGCTCCAAGCAGTTAAGTAACTTGCCCAAGGTTACACAGCTCCAGGGCATTGCAAGTCTTGCCCCTTAGGAATTGTCCCAGCTCTGAAACCTAGCTGGGCTGAAAGCCAGGACTTGACAGGTTGAGCTGGAAAGTTCTCATCCTCTTCGACTCTAACTGGTCTGTCCATCTCCTTCCTCAAAGAGGCTGTCTTGGCCCCACCCAGACACCATCTTCTGAGGCTTAGAAGAGGTGGCATTTTCTTTGGCAGGAGGGGTTCTTGAATGAATTCACAGAAATGGGAATGGCAGAAAGATGGATACCCTCTCCTGGCAGGGCCCCTGCCAGGAAGAAGTTAAGGCACACCTAGAACCTGCTTCCTGTCCTAGGAAACCCCTGGTCCAGCCCACCCTATCTGACTCACTGGATTTGGGGTATGAGTCATACCCCTTCCTTCCCCAGGCTGTGGCGGCTGAGCCACCAGCCCACCAGGGAACCATGATGACATAAGCCCAACTCACCCATAGGGAAGAGGATGGAGACAGAAGGAAGCAGACAGCAGTAAACAGCCGGGGGAGGGGGCAGGGATGAGAAAGAAACTTTCAGAGAGACACCCCTCCTCTCCCTCTTAGGCCTGGAGGCTGATGTGGAAGGGTCCCTGGCCCTCTCAGCTCCTCCCCTTTTTGTCCCAAAGAGGAAGGGACAGATAACGCCTAGGGTGCTGAGTTGTAGAAAACTATTAAGTCTGTGTTTGGGTATAGGTGACTCACAACCTGATATGAGATTCTATCATTAGAGATTCATTCCTTTAGCTTCAGATAAGAATCCCCTGTTTAAGATGCATAGAGTGGAAAAGGATACATCGTGGAAACTTACTCACAATAAATGCCTGTCCTTCGTAAGTTTATCAGAATCACAGAATCAGAATCTAACCCCTAAAGATCATCAAATCCAGATGCTTCATTTTATAAATGAGGACCCTCAAAACCCAGGGAAATAAAATTACTCATTCAAGGTCTTGCAGCCAGTTAGTGGTAAAACCAGGGCCAGAATACAGGCTAACGGAGCTCAAGGCTGGCACCTGGCAAATACAGGTCACTGCCCCCAGCAGCGACCTGCATCAAAGCATCGTGCAGTGAGAGGGATGGCTGCAGGCCTGGAAGCGCTCTGTCTGCAGAACTGGAAAAGACTTCAAAAAATGCTTCTACATGTTTTGCTGAACATAAAGATAGATTTGTGTACATGATAGAACATTTAGAAAATACCAAAAGGGATAAAACCACCCAGAATCTATCACTCAGACAGATGATCAGTATGTTTATATGCACATGCTTTTTAATTAAATTTTATTCAAAATTTTTGAACCCTGCCTTTTTTTCACTTATAATAACTAATAAGCATCTTACCAGGTCATTAAAAGTAATTCAAAAACATAATTTAAATAACTGCATAAAATTTCATGGTGACTGAATTTAATCATTCCCATGTAAGTTGAATTTCCTTTTTCACTGTGTAAATAATGTTATGATGAATATCTCTGTACATACACATTTTGCCAGATCTCTGATTATTTCAGATAAACATCTAAGATATAATTTTAGGTTAAAGGGTGTAAATTTTTAAAATTCTTGAAACATATCACAAAACTGCTTTCTAGAAATGTACCACATGCTCTCCTCACCAGCAGTGCATGACAATGCCGGTGTCACAGCGTCTACACCAGCATTCAGTATAGCATTTTAAGGAATATAAATCATTCTGTTATAGCGATACATGTATGTGTATGTTCATTGCAGCACTATTCACAATAGCAAAGACATGAAATCAACCCAAATGCCCGTCAATGATAGACTAGATAAAGAAAATGTGGTACATGTATACCATGGAATACTATGCAGCCAAAAACAGGAAGGAGATCATGTCCTTTGCAGGGACTTGGATGAAGCTGGAAGCCATTATCCTCAGCAAACTAACACAGGAACAGAAAACCAAATATCGCATGGTCTCACTTATAAGTGGGAACTGAACATTGAGATCACATGGACACAGGGAGGGGAACAGCACACACTGGGGCCTGTCAGGGGATATGGCGGGAGGGAGAGCATCAGGAAAAATAGCTAGTGCACGCTGGGCTTAATACTGAGGTGATGGGTTGATAGGTGCAGCAAACCACCATGGCACACATTTACCTGTGTAACAAACCTGCACATCCTGCACATGTACCCTGAAACTTAAAATAATTAAAAAAGAAGCTTTGCTGATTTTTAAAATGGATTTGCTTATTTATTTTTTATCAGCCCACATCATGTTTTGAGTTGAAATCTTCGCTGATTTTCTCAGAACCAGCAGGGACAACGCCCACTTGCATACATTGTGCGTTATCTCAGTCAAGGCTGAGCCCTGCTACCTGGGGGACAGCCAGCTAGAGGGACACCCCCAGAAGAGACTCAGAACTCAGAAGTTGCTGGAAAACTGCTGGGGAACTAGGCAGTGAAGTCCCAGAGTAGGGCATCACTTGTAGGAAAAGGGGGGCATGTGGGGTCCCGGGCAGCCAGGAGAGCACCCTGAAGGCACTGAAAAGCTTGGGCAGAGGCAAAAAGCCAGAGGAGAAAGAAGCTAGAAGTACAGGCAGGAAAAGACTAAAGAGAAATTTTGCTAATTCATGGCCATGCCCAAGGCCGTCCAGCAAGTTGCCCTGCTACATCTGAAATGTATATTCATTCATCTGTCAATTCATTCATTCATTCACTGAAGCAGGAGACATATACTGAGTATGTCCTGTGTACAAAGCATAGACAGTGCCATGGGCGACCCACAGACCTGCCCTGGGGCCTCATATGTCAGTGTAAACAAGGTATCTTTTCGATGAACAGCAGCATCATTGATTAACAGCATCTTTTGTACTAATTCTAGAGACACTGCAGTTCGCGGGGCAGATGGTCCACTGTAAAGGTGAGGCTTCTCACACTATTTGTGGTGAAGACTGGACTTCTGAGCTCTGACCACTGGGTGGTCCTACTGTGCATGACCAGAAAACAGCCTCTGCCACAAGTGACTTATTGGAGACGTCCACGTCACCCGAACTGGTCTATATTCTGTTTAGTGAATCAAGGCCATGGACCATGTGCCTGAATGTTGTGGTAATGCCCAGCTGCTATAAAAGTTTCCAAGCATTTACTTTCAGTTCCTGTTCTTTCGTCATAGAGCAGTACCAGATCACTCTTGAATAGCACTGCCTTTGAGCATGGGTTCTGGAATCTATAGCATGGGTTCAAATTCTTCCTATGCCACCCATGTTACTGATGGCAAGTTACTTATCCCC